TGCATGTGGAAACACTGCAGCTGCCAACCACACTCTTAAACTTTCAAGGTGATACCTGATTCTTTGGATCAGCAGGAAACTGTTGCCAAGGGAACTGAATTACTTGACTGTTGATAAAGAATGTCAGGCAATCAAGAGGGAGCTGGAGGCACTGGAGAACGTTTTGATAGGGCAGCGGCACCTCCACCCTTTTTCACTTCAGAACATGGATGTGAAAAAGCTGACAATTCATCAACCTTTTCCACCAAGCTGGTCATATTCACTGTGATCAGAGCGATAACTCTGTTTGCATTAAACGTCTCTATCTGAGCAAGTCAGGCCGCCGCTGATGCTATGTAAACCAAAGGCATTCATAATCACAATCATTACCTGACAAAAATAGACATGGGAAGGTCACCTATGAGGCACAGCCAGTCTTACAGACAGACACAGCAGACAAATGTCAGTGTGCTGTTCTCTGAAGACGGCACTGTCAGTTAAACCGTGGATCTGAGGCTTGCCGTCTTTTTTCCCCCCTCTCCACAGAGTGTGTCATTGGCTGTTCTCGTCCAAGAGTGGCTGTCAAATCTCCACGCACAAGCCTCTTGTTCTTATGTAACAAATCTAATTCAATGCTACTCGTTTCAAGAGGGAGCTATCCTGTCCAGCCGAGGGAACGTGATCAGGCGGAGAAGAATAATGTAAAAGCCGTATTCTCGGGGGTGGGGGTTATTTGTACTTCCCAGCTAAATAAGCAATGTGTAATCAGAAAGGACAATTATATTTACCAAAATATATCTCGGTGACTACTTATTTCCACGGCGAGCTGTGCGCATCCAATCTTTTATTGAGTAAATGCATGACTTCGGGGCCAGCCACACTCGCACATCGTTTGTTGAGGATGCTCTGCATGTTTATGAGTGTGCTACTTTTAGCTGCGGTGTTTTTGCAATGTTTGAGGTTAATGTTGTGGAAAAAAAAAAGATTGTATCGTGCAGAAGTAAACAGGTGAGAATTCAGCTCTGGTGAGAAGTTTACATACACTCATTGTGGGCATTCAATTCACACTAATTTGGAGCTTTTGGTAGCTTGAACATTTTTGTGATTTAGAATCAAATGATATTTAACTGTTATGATAAAAAAAATTAATTGATGCACCAGATTGAATTAATTGAGAATTGTTTATAAGCTATAAAAGATCTAAATTATACCTATAAAAACACAACCCAGCTAACATGTCAATTTTGCACTTCCACCATCCACTTTTTACAGCCATAAGCTTGTGACAAATTTTGGATCAGTAGTGCAATATTAAAAATTATTTTCAAAAAATCTTGGAACAAATCATTTTGGCACTAAGCTCATTTCCTGAAAACCTCTATTCAAAAAATAGATTGCTAATCCCAAATTAACAGCCTTATAGTCCTGGACCGTTTATTTAAAAAAATCTACCTCGTCATTTGGTCAAAACAAACATTTATTTGCACGGCCAGAAACACAAGAAATGATCTATATGGTAATCTAAGCAAGGTTTTCAAACATAAGTAGCCTGCTCCAACTGAGAAGCAACGCAGTAGGTGGATCAGGTGGGCAGATCAATCCAAAATATCAATAATGGCGATACCAAGTCTATATCAATATCGGATTAATGCTGGCATGGAAAGATCAGTTTCAGATTCCCTCTTGAAGTTTTATGCTATTTTTGTGTTGTAGTTTCTCAACTCTGCCTCAAATAAGAATTTGTTAGAAGTTGTTGAAATAATATTTTTGCACTTTGCAAAAGGAAAAATGCACACAAATCAGCTTAATATGTTAATATCTACAAATGTCCAAATTCTGTCCTAGGTTCAAATAAAATAATCCAAAGGAAAAACTATGAAATCACCTAAAAGGTCAGAACTCTGATGATATATCAAACTTAAATAAAAAAAAATAATAAAAATGTATCGGTATCAGTAATGTTATCGGCAATACGGGTATTTACTTGATATATCAACATAAGCAGTATCACACACCTCTAGTGGACAGCCACACAGATGTTTCTACTTGATTGCAGACTTGAGATTTGGAGGTTCCTGGGATCCTCCTGAACACCTTATCCAGTTTCCTTTTGTCTTAAACTTTTAAACGTGGCCTAAAAAATTTCATTTATAGCCTGAACCTACAGTGACACTCATGCCAATGATGGAAGTACTTTTTTGGATCTGAATCAAGTTCATTTCACACATTAAATAGATGTTGTGTTTTAAAATCACATTCCCTTTACCATTCAACAGACTTATGTGGTTGGGAAAGAGCATCAGCAATTATTTTCAATTGTTACCCCTGTAACTCTTTGCCTTTCGAGAGCTTTACATCACCCGTAGACATTTCGCAGGCCATGTTTTGTTAAACACTTTATTTTCACTAACTATTTGAAGAGATGTTTTTGCCTCTGAGGTTTATTAAAATCTAATGCGATTTGATTAGGTTTGACCCATAAATCGGTCTTTGAAGAGAGAATCCGCATGCAGGCTCTTGGGATCAATTAAATCAATTTTCTCAAGAAATTGTTTACTCATTAGGCCTTAAAATTCAATCCAATAAAGAATCACTGAGAGGTTCCAAATTTTTCTAAATAAATTAGATTCACAATCATTACCTGTAGTCATCTGATTGAGGATTCCCACTCTTCCCTTTTATCTTTTTCTGAGTGATGCAGTCACGAGGGCTGAGATGTGATGAAAGCGGAGAGCTGAACGAGAGCTCGCTGCGTAGTCATTTAATTCATATTCACTTCTGAAAACTGTAAGCTGCAAATTGCAAGTAATTATGATCCACTTACCAAGAAAAAAAAATCCTGTCTCAGAAGAGACTCTTACAAGCTCAAAATGTTGAAATATCATCCAAAAACATTTTATTTTCTGTCTATAATTAAAATAAGTAGAAAGATACCATTATGTTGATTCAGTCCTTTGGAACACATCATTTTGTATTCTGCAGTGCTGCAGTTATTTAAGTATTAAAGACTATTTTGCGTTCTTTTAGAGCAACAAGTTTCAGTGTAGTTGTATTTTTACGTGACCGATTGATAGAAAGTAGCACATAACTGGAGCAGGAAATTTCTATAATTTTTTTTATATATATACTTATCTGAAAATAGTGGCTTTCATTGGTTTTCACAAATATGCTTCAAGCAAGCTTTAATACTTTTCAGCTTCTCCAAGGTTTCGTTTGAGGATTTCCCTGTATTTAACTCTTTAGCTCTTCCTGTCCTCTCAATAACTGCGAAATAATTTTCATTATTTCGTGTTTTATTGATATGGCATCTTAGTTTCCACCCACAGAAAGCATTTGCCAGTCCCTTGTTTTAATACTTTGCTTCGTCCAAAGGATCTGGACCCTCGTTTATTTAGAAACGATTTCTTCCTGGAGACGTGGACTCTGTTGAAGTTTCAAATTTTACTCAGCCGCTAACACTGGGTCGTGATGTTCACAACTTCTTCTGTTTCCCGGAGAAACCCACTTCAATGACAGAAATCCCATATGGAACAGTGAAGAGAGATTATAGAGGTATGTATAGGTGAAACATTTCAATTTTGGTCTCATCTGACCAATTTCTTCCACATGTAGTTGCAATTTCCCCAACATGACTTTTTCAAACTTCTCATAATGGCTCCTTTCTTCTTGCCACTCTTATGTAAAGTCCAGGTCTGTGGAGCACTTGGTTATTCATTTATAATCTAGCTTTATCCTTTATGTTTCTGGTGGATGTTACCAAGTAGAAGACATCTAAAGGCAATTGATTTTAATTGATTATCTAAGGGTATCTAATAAGCTAGATGGAAATGCTAATATATGTATTTGCAATAAAACTTAATAACATTGTATTACTGTCATTTTGTTCATCTTGGTCCATCACAAAAATAGCAATACTTATTGATTTTATACTTATGTGAAAAAAATCCAAACAGGAAATTTCAACAAGTGTGAAAACTTTGGCAAGGCACTTTGGTGCAGCAGGAAAATTCTGGCTTCAGACAACACTGATCTAATAACCAGAAATCCATAGTTCTTTAGTGATAAAGCCAATATATAGGCAAATCTAAAAACTCTTAGACTTTGTAATTTTATAATATTTAAGAAACGGTGAACATTTAATAAAGGACATGAGCTAAACAGCAAAAGGTGAACTCATCGTTTTCACTTTTAAAAATCTATTTTCCAAATCCCCAACAGCCTGAGATCCTCCATCCATTTCAGGACCCGACAGCGGAGATTTGCTCCCATCAAGACTCCAAAGCATCTGTGAACTGTGTTAAGAGATGTTTTTGCGATAAGGCCTTCTGGTCGGAGCACCAGGCGAGGAAAGATTTTTCAAGTCGCAGTTTATCAGAAAGGTGTTGGAGCGAGGTTGAGGTCAAGGTCAGGGTCAGGTATCTGCACAACAAACCCGAGACACAATTTTGACCCATGTTGAAACAGAAGAAATCTCCCTCTTACGTTTTTGCAGCAACCACATCTGGAAACATAAAACAGTACAAAACACCTTGGTGTGAGAAATAGAAGCAGGATTGTTGGAGTTTATACCAACAACTTTAGACAATGAACATTAAAATACATTAAAACATAAAAATATTTTTAATGTAAAACTGGAACTTGTATGTTTGTCTCAAAAGAAGAAAAACAAAGCGCATGCAAAAATGTGGGCAAAACCATTAAGTTGTTGCCATTTTTAAAGTTAGGAAATGGCAACTATATGCCTGAAATTGGCTTTTTTTTAATATAATGTTCCTTCATCCAGTTAATGAGAATGGGTCACTATATTTGTTGTGACTGTAGCCACCAATAACATGTAGGTTTAAGGTGGGCAGTGTAATGCTAAGAAACCACTAAGCAGATATTAAAGGGAAGTCATTATGCTTGGTTTGAACAAATTAAAATAGATCTATGAGCTATAATAACATGTTCATTACATTTCTTGCAAAAACTATTTCTCAGAAAATGAGATTTCATTTGTTCAGTTCTGTAGTTGAGCTCCCTTCAGGATGAGCTGTTTCAGGGCTCTGTCACTTTAAATCCAAATAAGTTACATCCGGACACGCCTCCCCAGCTCTGCGTTTATAGTCGTACTTCCCTACACCTGAAGATAGCTTCAAATAGATACGCAGCTGTACATCCGTACACGAGTCAGGTCCGTAGCTCATTTTCCAGACACAAAAAAGCCAGAAAATGGCTGGGTGCATTTAAAACATTTTATTCATTTATTCTACACTTCAACATTTCTAGAAGCAGTAGAGACCCAAATGGAAGTACAAAAATTGAATTCTGTAATATAGGTCCTCTGTATACCTAGCCCCTCCTAATTTGCATAATAAGACAAAAATGCATGAGGTAAAGTAAAAATAGGATACAGAAATTTTTTTAAACAAAATAAAACAAAAAAAACCCCACTGAAATAAAAACCAGTCTTATCTTCCTCTAATCATTATTCAATAAAATGTTTGGGGGGGAGGGGTTTGCCTCAGAGCTGAGCTGGGTCCCTGTAGGTGGCACTGGTTGGTGATAGTTGGCGCTGGTACTAAAAAAGGTCCAAAGGATGAAACAGAAATGAAAACACACACAGATAAAAACCAGCGGCATATTAGCATTCACACAATACACTGGTGACAGTTAAGGTTTGTGCAATGATAACGAATGTGATGAATATAGAGTACCTTGCAAAATTATTCATACCCTTGAACTTTATCACAGTTGGTCACAGTAAGCCATAAACCTTCATGCATTCTGTTGGAAGTTCATATGAGAAACAAAAACAAAATGCATCGCTATGAAACAAATATGGGTTTCAAAAGATTTTACATAGATGGAAATCTGAAAACTGTGCTGATTACTTTTATTCAGTGCATTGGAGAACCATCCTTTATGGCAAATACAGCTGTAATTCTTTCGTGAGTCATCTAGAGATTTAAAACAGCCCATTTTTCTTTGGTTCAAAATGGTTAAGATCAGTCAGCTTGGACAGATAGCTCTCAAGTCTTGCCACTGGTTCTCAATTAGCCTTAAGAATATAACTTTGAATAGACCATTCCACTATGCGTGCACTTTGATTTTAAAGGGGCAGTATCATGTGTTTTTCAAGCAAAGACTGCAGTGTTAAGCAAAATCAAGTAACCTTATTACTTTGAGTTGTTATAAAAATGCTATCTGTATCAAATGTGACATACAGAAAATTTTACTTCATAATTTAATGCCCTGAAAAGGATTCCTCAAACATTCAGGCATGTTTTTGATGAGGGAACAATACTGCAACATGATGTGGAGCTCAGACAATCTAATTTACGTGATACTGAGTCTTTAACCATTCCAATGCAGCTCTGAATTTGTTCCAATGTTGGAAGGTAAACCTTAACCCTGGCCTCAAGTGTCCTCAACATATAATTGCCCTGTTTTTCCATCCATCTTCTAATAAATTGTACACAGTTTCTCTTCATCATAATGTTACCACCAATGTGTTTCAGTGTAGGAATGGTTTGTCAGTAGTGACAGCTTTGGATGTACACAGAAAATTCCTATTTGTCTCTTCTGACCAGAACACCTTCTTTCCCCTGTTATGGTTTGTCCGCCCTTTAAATTGGATTGTAACTTACAACATATGACTTTAAGAGCATTTCTCTCTTTGCCACTTTTCATTGAAGGCCAAATAACAGACAATCTCACCTGAGCTGTGGCTCTCCGGTACTCTCTACAGTTGCCATGGGCATCGAAACTTATTCTTTGAAAAATGATCCCCTTTCCAAGCCTGTCAGTTCAGGTGGATGGTCATATCTTGATAAGATTTGCAGTTGTACCACATTGTGTGAACTATTGGATAACAGGTTGAACAAGTGCTCTGCGAGAGATTGAAAGCTTGGGAGATTGTTTTATAATCTAACCCTTCTTTAAAACCTCTCTACAGCGTTTTCCCTGATCTCTCGGCTGTGTTCCTCCTCCTTTATGATGCTGTTTTGTTCACTAATGTGTTTTAGCATTCCTCTGAGGCCTTCACAGCGCTGCTAAATGAAGGCAAATTCTCTAAACTGTGAAAATATTTTAGACTCCCCCTTTCAAGTCGGCATGAAAGAGGATTTTCTTTTGCTGTGTGAGACACAAAAACTTCACTCTGGCATCCAGAAGGGTGACAAAATGTAAGCCTTATCCTCCATTGGAGGTGGGAATGGGTTGCGTTTTTCTTTTTTCTTTTTTGCAGGTTTTAAATCACAGCTAATCACTGTCATCCATGACCGATCACCTCAGGTAAACTGTCTGTCACCCGTGTTATAGCTACGGGTGAAGCTGCTGCACCAAAGGACTCCAGTCTTCAGCCTATCATGTCACCTAGAGGCAAAGTTCCTGCATAAGGAACAAAGCAAGTGACGTAAAAGACCTTCATCTTGTCTGAGTTGGTGTTCTATTATTATTATTATTATTATTATTATTTTTTTGCAGAGATTTTACAGGAAGTACCTAAAAAGTGTAATTTTGTGAACTTACGCCAACTGGTTTCAGTTTGCTTCTATAAACATCGACAGACACGATTCTCATGTTGCCTTGATGAATTATGTACATATTATACATGAGTTAACTCACAATTTTGGGCCTCTGTTTAATTTCCATAGCCTCATATAAAATTTACTGTAGCTTGATGCTAATTTATTATAATTTCAAACAGTTTTAAACCGACTGATTCCAAAGTAAAACTGCGTGATTGTTTTATTAATGTCTTTCTGAGGTGATGCAGTTCTTTGTACATATCGTATTCTGAATTAGTAATAACTCCTAATAGACATTTGCATACTTATAATTAATGAGCTACATCTATCCGTTCATTCTCACATTCGCATGTCATGATACTTACCTTGGATTTCCCAAACGACCTCTTCCTGGTTGGGAACTGTGAAGGTAGATTTCTTCCGTTGCACAAGCTAAACATTTGCATCATCATTTTATAATTCGTTAAATCATAAATCTTATAATACTTCCTTCCAGCTGTCCCAGATTTGGCTTCTGGTGTTAATCTGGATCATGAAATGTAGATAAGGTGCTAAACTCTGTATGCATGCCAGTCACAACACTGAAACTCGCCGCATTGAAACAGATCAAACGGACCAAAACATATCGCAGCATAAACCACACTCCCAACATGGCAGCAGTCCTCAGCTACAGTTGCTCCTTCCTGAAGAAAATAATAAATGAACTAGAACATTTCTGAAGAAATTTAAACAGAGCCTGCCAAAGTGTGCCCGTCAGTTGGAATCCGGCATTCTGATGCTACAAATTAGCATCAATGCTAAAGTAAGCTGCAACGTATTCAATGGCATGTTGAGAGTCACAAGCATGTTGAGTAACATGGACTTATGCCATCCAGTCTGTTGAAATTCACGTACAAGTTAAAACGAGCTCAATATTAGCCTAAATGTCGTCAGTAGCATGTGGGGCATCATGTTGTCTTACATTGACTTCCTCCATTCAGTGTGCTAAGCGTGGCTAATAAATAAGAAAAATAGCTAAAAGCATATTTTAGGAAAAAGACTAACGCTAATGGGAGGACAGTGAAATGCTAAAGTTTGTGCTAATGCACTAACCTGAGAGAAGAAAAAAATAAAATTTTTATATGTGTGTTGTGTGTTATGTCTTTGTGGACCACGAGACTATTGAATAAAGCTTCTCTCTCTCTCTCTCTCTCTCTCTCTCTCTCTCTCTCTCTCTCTCTCTTTCTCTCTTTATCTCTCTCTCTTATAGAAATTTATTGCTGGCCCAAATATAATGACAAAACACACTTGCTGCAGCCACTTAATGATGAACTTTGTTATTTTTTAAATTCAAATGAAAAATCAAATTCACATCACACCAAGCTAATATTATGTAGTTTTGCTGTTTTATACTGTCGGCACAAACTTGCAGCTCAGTACTTCCCTGCTTTTCTCTTTGTTACTGTCAGCTCTTCAGAGAAACGAGCTGCTAGCGGTGCTGTTAATTCATGATCATTCTGTTACAAAACTTAACGCTGTGTTCCTGTCGCTCCCCATGATTAAAGTCATAATTACAATCCTCTGCACTGATAGCAGACGGGATGTCCATAAACAAGTTTTACTAAATATTGTACAATAACCGAAAAGAGAGATGTAACTTCAATCATGAATATAGATTACCCAAAAACTCTACAAATTATAATGAAATATTGCTACTTCCGGTGAGCGCCGGAAGTAAGACTCATACTCGTTTTCCCAGTAAGCCTCCCAGGGATAAGGTGGATAGAATGTTCAGTTCCAGTGGTATCAATGACATCAGCAGTGATGTCATCACTCTATGATATCACAAGGGAATCTCTCTCTTGAATGTAGCTCACAGAGAGAGTTTTCTCAGAACTGTTCCACACTTCTATCGCGACAGATCACTCTTCAGAGCACGTACAAAATTTATCGAAACAAACGGGATATCGATTCCAGATATTACACGCCTTTCAGGGAAGCAAGAATTCACCAGAATATCGACATGAAGCAATAACAGATTGGTTGTGAACATGAGCTTTTCCAGCTGAGCTTTCATGGGACGACATGATGGACCTTAACATTCAAGTCGACTACGATGCTGTTGTTTTCCCTTTGGAAGATGACAGCGACAGCCCCATTGAGCCGGAAGATGAATCAGCAGAGATCCAAGGAGAATCAAGTCTTTCCGGCGATATTGAGAGTCCAACATCATTGGAAGTCAAGCAGAAAATGACTCCCTCTGCTGGCTTTGAGATTACCCCCTCAGTGGAAGTTGTGGAAGAGACTAGCCATCACATCAGAGATCTCACAAAACAGGTAGATGATCTTAACCCTTGTGTGTGCGAGGACTGAGGGAAACGTAGAGGACTATGCCTAATGATACAAGTTTTACGTGTGTGGGGATGGTTGGACCACATTTCTACATACAAGGGTTAAAAAAGAACCGCAGAGTAAGATTTTTTTTCTCCATGAGGAAAGAGACCGAAGGATTGCATATCAGGCTGAAGTCAAATCACAGCAGGAGGAGATTCAAAAACTGCAAAAAATGTTAGAAAAAGAACGTCACCAGCAAGTCAAATTTGACCATGGAAGAAACGTGCCAGAGATTAAAGACGTATCAAAGGTTTCTTGCTCTTCCAAAGCAAGAAACCTTGTTGAAGAAGAGCACTCTTCTTCAACAAAAATGCTTTTGTTGAAGAATGCTCAACAAGAGCATTCTTCAACAGCTGGACTACTTCAAGAGGGAGGCTGAA